GTAGTTTAGAGAATTAGGAGAACCTCTCAATCTACAAAGAAAGACTCCAAGCTTAAGTTTATTAAAACCATTCTAATTCAATTATAATTAGGTTACATGGTTTGAAAAAGAGGTTAATATTAAAATGTTCCTCTTAGATGAAGTTGCGTAAAATGGAAATGTTCAGTACAAAGTACAAGTAGCCTACCTTAAATGTGTGTTTCAGTACTTACAACAGTTCAATCAGGAGAGACTTCATTTTGTTTAAATAACATTTATTGACACATGCCATATGATAAATGTTAAGTCTTTGGCGATTAGACCCCGATCCTGAAATCGTATATCTTGAGGGGGAAATGCAGCCGTGAGCATATAACCCCAGGGTTTCTAGATGATGGTGATGATGCTGAAGATCTGGATTTGATGAGGAGATGGGATGAAGAGGAGAGGTGTGATGAGCAGTTATGTTACGCATTGCGTCGAGGCTTCGGAGCATGGGTGTTTCTCAATGTCGAGGACGCTTCCTTGGTAGGACATGTCTTCTGAGTCACTTCCTTCAGAAGCGAGGCAAGAATCCTTCCTAGGCCGTTTCTCAATCTCGAGGATACTGGCTTCCAAGCCAATATTTCAAGGATGCTACGTCATCGAGTGCCGCCGAAGTACTGTTCCAATCTCCAGCATACTTGGAATTCCACCGAGGCCGCGTCCTTGGTTTGGGGGAAATTTCTAGGCTACACATTGGTAGACTTCGCGTCCTTAAAATCCCCACAATGCTTTGCGCACTGACCAATTTCAAAAACCCTTGCGGAGAATGGCTGAACCGACACAGCACACATTTAAATGTATGTCGTGGCGTAGAAAATGTTTAGTGTTGGTAAATTTGTTACTTTGTTAAATTTGTTACCACCATAAATGTGTTCCGTGAAAGTAAAGCAAGTTCATAATTAGATAGACATCGTGAGGTATTTATTTTCGGTACAGTTTATGTTGAAACCGTTAGAGAGAGTGGCACACTTGTTAGCCTGTTCCATTCTTCTTCGTTTTCCGAAGCTGTGACTTGGAAGCATACTTGCTTCGTTTCTGAAGGAAGTGACTTGGAAGTACGCGACTACCAAGCCAGCATCCTCACGATTGAGAAACGGCCCTAGCCTCGGAAAACGAAGAATGGTGGAACAGGCTAACAGGTGTGCAGGTGTGCGTCATATGCGAGGCCCCGCCTTAAATGGAGCGCGATTTCCGCCA